GACATTCAATGTTATTATCCATATTTCCAGATCTGTCCCTACCATTAAATTGGCCATATTCCTGGTTGTTTTTTCTTCTATTATTGTTGTTTGTCTCTTTAGTTTTCTTGATATAGTACTCCTTTCAGAATTTCTTGAAAAGCTGATCTGGAGTTGGTAAATTCTATAAGGTTTTGTTTATCTGAGAATGTTTTTATTTTCTTTTCCCATATGAAGGATAATCTTACCTGGTGTAGTATTCTTGGTTGAAATTGTTTTTCATTTAACACTTTGAATATATTTCCCCACTCTTTACTTGCTTGCATTGTCTACCCACATGAAGGATAATCTTCCTGCGTACAGTGTTCTTGGTTGAAATTGTTTTTCCCTTAACACTTTGAATATATTTTCCCATTTTTTCCTTGCTTGCATTGTTTCCAATGAGATGTCCGGTGTTAGCCTGATGGGATAGCCTTTGTAAGTGATTTGACATTTCTCTCTGGCCAGTCTTAGTATCTTATCTTTGTCTGTTGTTTTGGTCAATCTAGCTATAATGCGGCATGGAGAGGATATTCTTGGATTGATTCTACTCAGAGTTCTTTGTATTTCTTGGGTCTGGATGTTTTAGTGCTTCTCTAGAGTTGGAAAGTTTTCTCCTAGTATTTCATGGAATAGATTATGAAAGCCCTTATTAGTTTCTTCATCTTCTGGGATACCAATTATTTGTATGTTTGGGCGTTTCATGGTATCTAACATTTCTTGTGTATTATCCTCAGTATTCTTGGCTGTTTTCTCAGTATTTTTGACAATTTTTTTTCTCGGTGATTGGTTGTGTCTTCTACTTCTGAAATTCAATCTTCTGCATGGTCTAGCCTGTTTTGATACTTTTGAGGGAGGTTTTAATTTCCTGTATTATAGCCTTTATGTCTAACAGTTCCATTTGATTTTTTATGGTGTCCAGTTCTTCTTTCTTATTGTGGAAGGACTTCCTCATCTCTTGGAACTCAACATCTCTTTTCTCTTGTGTCTCATAGAATTTTGTTAACATAAATATTCTAAATTCTTTCTCTGATATTTTGGTAATATGTTCTAAATTTTCCCTACTTGGAGACAGGTTACATTGTTCCCTTGGTGGGGATGTACTACTTGATTCTCTCATCCTTGAGGTTCTTCTTCAATATTTAGTCATTTGGTAATGTACTCATTTCTGGTCAATTCTTTGGAAAGGGATTCAGTGACTGTGAACTCATGTGTTTCCCCCACTGTGAAATAATTTGGTGCTATTTTCTCTCTTCTAAGTCCTCAAATGTGGAAATCACAGGAGAAGTTTTGCAATCAGATTTCTTAAGAGGAATTTCACTAATTTTGCAATACTACAGTGATGTGCAAAGAATTCTCCACAACTCACAATGCTCAAATGGTTAGCTACTATGCACCTAATCATCTCTAGGGAGAGGGTAAGGGCTTAGAAGTAAAACAGAAAAGTAAGGTAAAGAAAAAGAAAGTAGGAAATAGAAATAGGGAGAGAAGGTGAAGAAAAAAGAATGAACTATTAATAATGGCAGGGTTGCTGACGAGGATGTGTATGGTGGTCTCAACTGGGCTGGACTGAGGTGTATATCATGCTGGGTAAGGTCTCTTCACAGTGTAAGTGATAAATAATGATTTAATGTATGAATAAAAATGAATAAATAAATAAATAAAGGCAGGGTTCTTCCCACGTAAGGAAGAGCCTAAGTGAAGGATCCTGAATACAGTTATCCCCAGTGGCCTAGAACAGTTGACTGCCTCATAGAAAGGACTTCATAAATAGTCGATACAGAATAATAAAATAAGGCCAGCCAGTAGTGTGGATCCCACACCGCCCACTGCATGGTTCAAGTCCTGGACCTGTCTTGAAATACACACCTACTGTGTGCATGCATTTTCAAAATTCTGAAAGAATGGAGACAAGATAGCGGCATGGCTATCTCCCTGGGGAGTGTTTTCCCACTCTCCCTTCTCTTCCCATATGTGAGCACATATGCCTAGAGTAAAAAAAAAAAATTTTAAAAAAGGAATGGCAAAATAAGTCAGCTGAGGTGGAGCAACAGTAACGCAATGCTGAAGCCACATGGGGAGGTACCAGCTTCACATCCAAGCACTTTTTGTACTTGCATGCCGCGATCCTGACTAACTGGGGCTCAGGAGAGAGGGGGGCTGATTTCATGTGAGGATCCTGTTCAGGGTACCTGTCTTTCTTTTTCTCTCTCTCACTTTCACTCTCTCATGGAAGAAATAAATTAATGTTTTCAAAGAAATGAGGAAATAGATAACAAATGGGAATACAAACAAAGTTAGCTCATAATCATCATTGAAAAGTATTTTTAAGATCATTACTATATTCTGTGTATGTTGGCACATCTGGTACATCTAATATAGATTATTTAATTTAATTTAATTATTTTTTGCTGCTAGATGGTGTGAGCACTCTTTACTGAAGAGAGACACAGAAAGTGAGGGAAAGTGAGAAAGCACCTCCCCCATGGGGGACAGTCACTTGACAATCCCTTCTCCATTTTTCCCTCCTGTCAGGATTTTGGGCATGTGTTTTTCAAACTGTAGGGAGATACTCCAACTGGCAGAGTTGGCCATGGGGCATATAGCCACCTTAACCACTATAAACTGTTGACTCCTAGTTTATTCCTAATTCTGCTGGTATTTATCAACTTTTCCACTTTGCATTCAATCTTGATATATGCCTTATATTTAGGAAACGTAGTTTCTGAAATTTCATATCTGAGCTTTATTTTAAGCCATGTATTATATATAAAGAAGTGCATTTTTAGAAGTCTAATCTAAAGGCAGCTTTTTACCAAGTCAATTCTACAATAAAAATAATTTTTTTAAAAAAAAAAAGAAAAACCAGAAGGGATGGCCACACCACAATCCTTTCTCCCAGGATTTTGGGCCCACAGGCACATGCACTCGCCACTGGGTGTGGGATCTAAACCATGATCAACTTCATAGGAGTCCAGTGATGTAACCGTTACACCATTTGGTGGTGTAATAATTTTCCATTTTCATTTTCATTTGATCACTAATTCACCTACCCTGCACTCAGGGAGCCACTTCAATTATGCTAATGCTAATAGCCATAGCAGCTATTGTTTATTGAGGACTTTTTATTTTATTTTTTCTGCTAGAGACTGTCCTGAAGGCTGTGCATACATTGCCCGGTTTTGTTCATCTTACATATGACCCATGTTATCACAGGCATGTACATAAATCTACTCTAAAGTACTTTCAGTTGCTGACTCAAGTCCCAACACACCGAAACTCGAGCTATGACTACCTACTTGCATCCAGCTTTCCACTACTTTTCTCTTTGTCCTCTCCTCCTGACTTCCTCCTTTCTGTGAAAGCCAGGAGCGCTCCTCTGCCTCGCTCCTGCTATGCTTTGGAAACCGTCAGGATCCGCCGGTCTTTTCCTGTCACCCCTCCCCCAGACAACAATCTAGGTGGCAAAGGTCGAAAGACCTGCTGCGTAACTCGTGCGTGCGATTTACCTAAATAACAGAAGTCTGAAGCGCCCAGCGACAGGTAGGATAGGACAGGAGAGGTGGCGCACGCACTCTGATAAATGCCTTTGCCACCTCCATATGCGGCCGTGAGTGGGCAGGTGGTCAAGAGCAGAGTAGGGATCGAATCCACGTGTTCAGTTTCTTTTCTCTCCGAGATGGATGGACAGGGCAAACTATCGTTGAGAGTGAAGTGAAAACGCATAATCCCACAATGTCTAGTGAGTCGGCCTATTCTCAGGCTGGCCCCTCACGTGTGGGTCCTGATTGTCTGAACCTAGTGAGAGATTGGGCTGGGGTCCCAGCGGGGTGATCTGGTGACCCGAAGGGCAGGTGCTCAAGCACCCAGGTCCTGGATCCAGAAGGGTTCTTGAGCAAATAGTGGATTTACCCCCTCTGAGGTGGTGCCGGTTACTGTGTTGGCGATCCAAAGATACCTGTTAGAGGGAGGATGAACCGCGCGACCTCGTGCCCAAACCTCCTCTTTACTGCTACGATGTGATGATCTTGGACGGGGTGTACCAGGAGAAGTGTTACCTGGACCCCAAATTTAATTCTCTCATATGTGAAAATATCCTTAAAGTTGGTATAGAAATGAACATTTCTGGAGTCTCATGTCTTTACAACGAGAAAAGATTAAGCCAGGGGATCCTGTGAATAGATAATGTTCACTGTGGGGAGACGTCAGACTCTACTTCTATAGAAACTCTCTTCAGAAATAGAGCGCGCGCGCACACACACACACACACAAGAAAAAGAAAAGAAAAGAAAAAAAGAAAAGAAGAAAAGAAAAGAAAGAAAAAGAAAGAAAGAAAGAAAGAAAAGAAAAGAAAGAAAAGAAAAGAAGAAAAGAAGAGAAGAGAAGAGAAGAGAAGAGAAGAGAAGAGAAAAAAAGAAAAGAAAAGAAAAGAAAAGAAAAGAAAAGAAAAGAAAAGAAAAGAAAAGAAAAGAAAAGAAAAGAAAAGAAAAGAAAAGAAAAGAAAAGAAAAGAAAAGAAAAGAAAAGAAAAGAAAAGAAAAGAAAAGAAAAGAAAAGAAAAAAGAAATAATAGGGCCCACGAGGAGAAACCAGAGAAGCCCTTAAGAGGCTGCCTGGAAGAGTCATTACCTGGTGCTGTGGAAGATCCATGTGGAGATATCTGATTAAACCACAATCAACCTGAGGAACACAATTTTAACAGTAAGTAATTGATGGGGGGAGGGTAAAAAATACTTTTCAGGAATGCATTATAAGGACAGGAAACAAGGATGCTTTTGTCATTTGTTTATTACAATCCAAGAGTGGTAGTAGACAGGTTTTTCTTGAATGACAGAAACATTCTGTTAATGAATTTGCCCAGCCTGAGTCTTGGTTTGATTACAAACGTGGCTTTTGGGAAATGTCTGACTACATCTTAAATTAATTCTGGTGAATGTGCTACTGTGGAAGTCAGAGTCAGTACCTCCTGCATTTGTTGTCTGTTTGAGTATGATGGAATTACTCATAGTTTCAGTCCCATTCCAGTTGAGGAAATAGTATGTCCTGTCAATTAAAGGGTGTATAGATTGAAATTTAGCATAAAAGTTGCAAATATTTATGGTTTTACATTATTTAACTTTCATTCAAAATAGACATTTCTTGGTATATTTCTTAATATTTTACATTAATCGAAATGCCACTTTTCTGTCTTTGAGCATAATCTTACTATGACGTGTAACAGCAACAAGCTTGAAAGTGAATTTATAACTGACAAAAAATATGCAATTATAGTCACATCAGTTTATAAGGGAAAAAAGATGTTATAGAAATGTGTAGCGAGAATGATTTAAATAACCAAATTTTAAAAGCAAGATAGTTCTATCCAGAATTAAATAATGGAATTATTTTATCTCAGGAATGTAATATGGCATTACTACTCTAAATGTTGATCATTTTATTTTTTAGAATTGAATGTACAAATGAAAATTGATTCCCTAGAAGCAAAATTAAGAAAGGAATAATTTTGTGAAATTTTATTTGTTTTTGTTCTGATTATGAGAGTAATATCTATTCATTTATCAAAACCCTATTTTTAGTACAAAAGGCAATGTCTATGTGCTTTTTAAAAGTCTAAAAAAGCATATTGTGTTAAAAGTATAAGACTCAAGTATAGTAAAATGCTTGTAGTAGAATCTAGGATGTGAGTATGTGATGTTAACTCTAAATTTCCTTCAGGTTTTCTGTATGTTTGAAATTGTTAATAAAAAGCCTCTTTTACTTTCCCCCATGCCTACAATTTTTCTCTCAAAATTCTAAACTTTCAAGTATATTTCTATCTTCCTTTCATTCTTTTTTTATTTTGGTAAACATTTATTTCTTTATTTATAGTGACTTATCAAGCCACCTGGTCCAGGACTCAAACCACAACTGACCATGTAGGAATCCAGCTCCTTAACCACCACACCACCTGCTGGCACCTGGTGTATCTATTTTACAAAAAATGAAGTAAGTGGTATTGTGTAATTTGCTTTTTCTAGATAACATAATCCCAGGCATCTTTCATGAATATCTGTGCATATAATATTCCACAGTATGGATATACCAGAATTTCTATAATCATGCCCAAGTGTACTGGTAATTTGTTATTTTCATCAGTTTTTTTTTTTCAGTAATACAGTGCTGAACATTGGGATGTACATGTTCACTGTGTTCATTGAGATGTACATGTACATTGGGATGTTCACTGTACATGTTCACTATGTTCAAGTATTTCTATTGAATGGGTCAATTCTTCAGTGTGAAATTGCCAGGTTAAGTAATAACTGAAAATTTTAATTTAATGGATATTGACAAATCATGTTCTAAAGAGGTTGTACTAATTTACATTCACCAACAACAAATGCATGCGAGTGCTTGTTTCTCTACATCATAACATGTTGTCGTTTTTTCTAATTTTGCTGGAGGGCATGTGTGCTCACTGGAGAAAGGCAGAAAGAAGGAAAGTCAGGGGCCAGCAAGGGGCATAGTGGCTAAGGTGCTGGACTTTCACATGGCCAACTTCACTTCAAGCGCTGAACCTGGCATCTTAAACATTGTTCTGGACAGGGACCAACAATTGGTATAATGGTTATGTCACTGGGCTCCCATGTGGTTCGAGTCCTAGACCTTATGGCTTAAAACTCACTCCAGGTGCTTGTGTGTGCATGCCCAAAATTCCAAGAGGAGAATGGAGGAGAAGGGATTACAGCAAGGTCATCCCTCCATAGGATGCTTTCTCACTTTCTGTCTCTGTGTCTCTATAGCAAGTACATGCACCCTATAGTAAAAATCTCTCTTAAAAAAATTCATGCTGGACAGTGTCCAAAATCCCAAGAGGAGAATGGAGAAGAAGGGATTGCGTCATGGCCATCCCCACCCCAACCCCGAGGGTGATATCTCACTTTCCCTCTCTTTGTCTCTTTCCAGTGAGCACACATGCCCTATGGCAAAATTAATTAATTAATTAATTAAAAAAATAAAACTTAAAAAAAAGGAGGGAAAGTGAGAAGTACGTCCCATGAGGGATAGTCATGCTGCAATCCCTTCTCCATTTCTCCTTTTGTGACTTTGGGGTTGCATACATGCACCAGGTGTGTTTTTTGAGCCAGTGGATCTGGGACTCGAACAGTGTAGTTGGCCATGTGAGACCCAGCCACCTTAACCACCACATCACCAGCTGTTTCGGTAAAATTACACCTCTAAGTTTTTTTATTAATTTATAGGATTTCTTTGCTAATGGGTATTACATTTTTTGACTCCTATATGCTAAAAATTATTTTCTTACACTCCCTTTTTTCATGGTACATTTTTGTGATTTTGAAACTTTTTACTAATGTATAACTTATATACAGTAAAGTGAAAG